GTCGATGAATCCAATTTTCCGTTTTGCACGGAATGCAATTCTCATTGCACGAGCCCATTCTTCATAATTATCACCGTTTAGTTTGACTTGGGTGATAATTAATCCAGGTGTGTCTGCGTTCTTGAGTTCGTAAGAACTTCCCTTCGTAGGGATCTTCTCTTCCTCTTCGAAGAGCTTGCCGACGAGATTTTCTTCTACTTCTGCCATGTCGACGTTCGAGAAGGAAATTCCGGCGGTGATGGACCGTCGTTTGTCTATATTAGGGTTTTCCTAGGAATCTTGCTCTGATACCATGTAGAAATTAATAAGAGGAAAAATATTATGTATATTGAATTGTTCTGTTTAGTTACAAGGGGTTTCTCCTTTATTTATAGAAGAGGATGATTCCAAAATAGACAAGGAATACAAATCCTACAAGGAAACAAATCATAATCAAACTAGGAAACAAATAAATCAAGATCAATCCTAATTAGAATGGGATTCGGTCATCAAAGGATTTGGACTTCTCAAGTTTGGATCTCTCGGAATTCGGATCTCTCGGAATCCGGATTCCTCGGAAGTCGGGCTTCTCCGGATCCGGACTTCTCAGTTCCAATAAAGTTGGAACGTTAATAAATGAATTTTTTCAAATAGTTTTCAATATTTGCCACATTTCCTTTTTCAATAATACAGGGATTTTGATTTTTTGTACGTTTTTATTAATTACTACTTGGTAAAATAAAATATTCTTGACGTCACTTATTTCGAAAATTTTTTAGGTAGTTTTTAAATACGTAAGTTTTGTTTTTTATTTCTATATAATTTTAAATAAAATAAATTGAAAAAAATTAATATTTTACTCGTACCTGGTTTTACGAAATGTAGTAAATATTTAGGGACACAGGAGGTATTTTTTGCTTTTAAGTAAACAAAGTATTTGATACTCCGTAATATTCTGTCTCAAAAGAACGTTTTACAATCTAAATGATATGGTACAAATTCTTAAGATACATACTTCAGTTGAAGTATATATTCGTCTAGTTTGATTTTTTCGTGTCTACTGAACAAATTTTATCACCAATTACGTATTCTTAATTTGTATTGCATATTAATACAATAAAATAAAATTTCAAAAGCTTTCCAATTTTTGAGTAGGGTGAAGTCCATATAGACACATTATCTCCACACCCCATTTTTGTGAGATTTTATAATAAGGCTTGTATAAGTTATAACCACCAAAGAATGCTAAAGAAAAGCTAATTATACTTTATTATACTAGTAATATTTATTTTTATGTATAACATTGTTGTAGCTTAGGTTTTATTGAAGTGTAACATTTGTGATTAGTATTAACGATTTATAATTTTGGTAATTTTGTAATTATATAAACAATGTAAAAAGCTAATGCTAAAATTAATTTCTAGATAATATTTTAAAAATATTGAAACTATATTGTGAAACATAGTCTAAATGTTCCGCAGTTGTTTTTTTAAAGACAGCTCTAATAAAACTAGACATGACAAAAAATGACCCGATCTATTTTTGACCCGAAACTCGACCTGAAAACACTGAGTTTTGAGCAAAGATTTTGATGACCGAATCCAAAATGACCTGTTAAAAATGAGTCAAACCCGACCGAATCCGAACCCGACCCGACCGACCCGCTAAAGTAAGAGTTTTTTAAAATCATACACTTTTCTACTCGTTTTAGTGTATAAATTATATTCTCAAACAAAATTTTAATGATATTGCATACTTATCTTACTTTTTTCTAAAACTAAACATTTTTTAAATTCCTTATATTGATATATATATATATATATATATATATATATATATAAATTACTTAAGAATTTAAAATAAAATAATCTAATAGATTTAATGCATATTTTTTGATATTTTAGATTTATATAATACAAAATGTAAGTGTTAATGTGAATTTAAAAATTTAAAAACCAAAGTCATAACCCGTTGGGTCGACCCAAACCCGATGACACTGGGTCATGAATATACTATTCTCAACCCGAACTCGAATTGACCCAAACCTAAAATAACCCGATCTGGAGGTGACCAAACTCGAACCCGACCTGACTGACCGATTTGGGAGCTCAAAATAAAACCAATTGTAAGAGATGGAAAAAGAAAGAAAAATGCTAGAGGTACACCAAATGTGTACCCCATTTGTCCCCCACCCCTCCTTGTCCACAAAAAAAGGTAAGAAATTCAAAAAAAAAATAAATAAAAATAAAATAAAAATGAGTAGTGGAGAAATGGGTGGTGTTCATTTGGGATACACCATTAACATTCCTCAAAAACAAAATGTTTTCCATAGGTTAGTGGTGCCGTGGTGGTCTAACTTCCAAAGTGCTACTACAGCTATACTTCAACTAGGATACTTTTTCTTTCAAGTGAAAGAAAGAAAGAGCCTTTTTGACAAAATATATACTCTGTTTACGCTTCCATATATATTTGCTTTCACAATTTCAACCATTACTGTTTGATAAGCACTTTTTATACCATTCCAATCATTATTAATTTCTGCTTCACGTCATGTTCTCTTTATCTGATATGAATGATCCTGATCTAATTAAGATAAATTATGATTTGATCTAATTTAATTTTATTAGATCTGAATGTAATTACATTTAAAGTTATTTCTGATCTGGTCTGAAAAAGTAATACGTAACAAAAATAAATTGAAAAGGACATGATCTTATATTAAAGAAAAATTTGTACTAAATAGGACTAAAACATATTCATTTCTTAATGTAGAACTTAAATTTTTTTATTCTTTGAATAGGACTTAATAATGTCTAGTGAGATGAATAATGTCCAGTGATGGTGGACATTACTTGAATAATTACTATTGAATAATGACTAATGCTCTTATATTGAAAATAAAAACATATGGTCCTATTTTTTTAAATAAAAAGTGGATTAGTCCGAAAGATTACAGAAAATGCCAGTCTGGTTCCTTTTTAAAAAGTGTCAATCTTTTGATAAAAAAACTAAAATAAAAGTAAAAAATAGAGAAAGTATCAAAATATGAGTCTTACATTTTTATCCCTACACAATGAAAATAACACGAGCCCAAGAAGGAATTACAATTGTAAATAATGGGCATCTCAATTGAATGGACTAAAACAAAAAGGAATTTTTTTTGACAGCCAAAGAAAATAATTTGAATTCGGACAAAGGAATATTAACAAGATTGATGGGAAGATACTTAAATGTAAAAAAAGAACATAAACTAGATTCAATTCATTTCAATAAACATTCACTTTATCCAATCTTCATTATTATTTATCCACAATTTCATTAAAAAATGAAAGAGAGTGGCTATAAAATTGGAATGATATACTAAAACATACACACTTATAAAATACACTTATAAAATATACTCCGTATGAACCAAAACCATCCTATATATCAAACACATTTCACAAATCACATATTCCACAAATATATCAATAATATGTGTGTCAATATTCAATCACATGTGATTAGTAAAAACAATTAATTTGGGGTAATTCTCAACTAATAATAACATGTGATTGATTGATACACCGATCGATACAATTTGGGGTATATATAGGATATCGGCATGACATCTTCTCACTTGATAAAGCAAAAGAAATCGAATCACTACGATTTACTTTTTCTTTTTTCAATCTTTTCCATCCCGGGTTGTGGGCCTCGGGTCGAGAAAAATTTGTCATTATGTGACCAAATTAATGTCCACCCGTTCTCATTGAATTCCAAACAGCGCCAGCTGGAAATGAACACTCCCAAGAAGAAGATGATGTAAGCTGCCCAAAAAGCTGACATGTCCACTTCCTCGTACCATTCCTCCGATGTTGTTTCCACCATCCGATCATCGTCGTCGTCGTCGTCATCACCATCGATGTTTTTCATGCTGCTGCAATTCTTCTCGGTCTGTCCGCCGCAAAGATAGGGGTTCCCTTCATAGCTGTTCTTCTCGAAGGTTCCAAACTGGTCCTTCACATTAGGGACACTCCCTGATAAGTTGTTATACGCCACAGAGAAACACTCCAAGAAGGTGAGTTCCACTAGCCCTAAGGGAAGACTCCCACTTAGGTTGTTGTATGAAAGGTCCAAACTCTCCAATTGTCTCAACCCTGAAATTGATGTTGGGATTTGGCCTATGATTTGGTTATGTGACAAATTCAATGCATGAATCCATTCGACCTCTCCCAGCTCGCTCGGGATCTCGCCCCCGAGGCTATTACAAGAGAGGTCGAGACCAGACATGTAGTTGACCATGTTGCCTTTGTAAGAGTTGACTTTTTTCTTTGTCACAAAGTCCATTCCCACCAAAAATAGGTTCACTTGTTTTGTTGTCGTCATGTCGTACACTTGAAACAAGATGTTCCCGTATGTTACAACGCCTTTTTCAGCATCGTTGCTACCCCATACAGAGAATACGTCATCATATATGGTGTTGTAGAGCCCAGGTTGCCCGAATGTGATATTATTGATGCATTTAGGTATTTGACCTGAGAAGCGGTTGCGCGAAAGGTCAACCATGTTTAGTTCTCGTAGTGCGCATAGCTGGTTCGGGAGCAAGCCGCTTAATCGATTTCCACCCAATAGAAGAACCCTCAAGTTCGGGGCACCTGTAACACCCTAATCCGTCCAGGTCTGCAGCCCCTTTTGGACTAAAGTATTAACTTGGTAATCGTAAAATTTAAAACATTTCAAACACTTTTATTCATCATAATAATATTTTTCATATCATAAACAGTACGGAGTTTTCAATATTGCGGAAGCTTAACAATCATAATCATAAACATAATTTATTTATGTTCTTTAATTCAAAACCATCACATCCATTCCGACAATCTCGCCTCCGTCTGCCTCCAGGATCACGTCACTTCATTAACCTGCGTGTAGCAAATAAAACATACTACACGCTCAGCGTTGAAGCTGAGTAAGCATATCTAATGCATCGAACATCCATATAAACTGAATCTAAATTCATAATGAAATCATTTGATATCATGCACATAATGTTCAGTTCAGATAATCAATAATTATTAAAAAAAATTATTCATCATGCATTATTCAACATTTATATTCACATTCAATGTTCATCAGTCATTCATAATAATTGCAATATTCAATTCAATATTCATCATTCAATATTTACTCATATTCAATATTCAATATTCAACATTCAACAATATCCTTAAACTATTCTTAGTCTAAAGCCAATTACTTTAATATTTGTCAACCCTGAAACGAATTCTAGTTTAAATAATTAAACTATATTCCAGTATAAAATATTCCTAAATAATCCTTAAGCTAGGCCTAGTTTGAGATAAAAGGGTTTTGAAAATCTTAAACTTACCTTCACTTAAGGCCAACCAAAAACCGACAGCGTAGTGTTCACTGTTGGGTGGGTGGTACCCCCAAACGAGTAGGTACTCAAGTTTGGTTCTTGGATCCCATACGTACGTTTTAACCCTAGCCACCGGGGTTCATACCCGCAAGGCCTAACTTAAATAGGTATATCTTAGAGGTCTTCTAGATACCTTTCAAATCAACATTAATATGGGTATATCTTAGAGGTCTTGTAACGCCCTAAAACATACCCTAGAATTATTAATGAATAAATAATCAATTAATCACAATTGTTTTGATTAAAATAAATTATTGTTGGGCTTTGGGCCGATGTGAAATTTGTTTTGACATCTAATATCAAAATCTGGATAAATCTCATAGAGATAGATCCAATTTATTGACTATTTGTGTGGTCTTGATTGGGAACCTGAGTACAGACCCAAATCAAGAATAAATGAAGAAATTAATTATGATGTAAACATTAAAATGATTTATTGAAATAAATGATGAGAATAATTAATATGAGTTAAATATGAGAACCTTTTTGAATAAAGGTCAACTGAATCAATTTTTACTCTATCAAAGTCAACCACCCAAAAATATGATGTCGGAAATAGTATTACAAATAATTATGAAAAGTATATCGTTGAATAGAATTCGACTGTCTGATCGCAACGGTGCGAACGGATTTCAATTTGGAGAAAGTTGGATCAAAAAGTGTACCCCGACTGGAACCAAAATTGGTCCCAATCAGGGACACTGTGGAGACGGCGCCTCCCAACGCACTGATTCATTTCCTACGTAGAGCTACAGCTACAGGACTTGTCTTCTTCTTC